GCGCACACCATCGTTCGCCTTCCGCTTCTTCTCGGACTTCTTCTGACTTGCTTGCTCGACTGCCCCGCTCGGTCCTTTCTTCGCCTCCGTCGCCCTCGCCTCTTGTCTCCTTACCTTCTCTGTCTCTATCATGTTCGCGATGCAAACCCTCCATCCAAACTTCCTTACGTAGTTCGACAGCTTCTCGATGTCAACCCCCAAGCACTCTTGGCTATCTCCCTTGGTCAATTTCACCCGGAAGTGTTCATGTTCTCTGCCTACTTGTCCCCTTGCTAGGGGGGGCGGCTTGTTGTAAAACGTCGTTGCCGAACGACGAAAACCGAACCCCGATCGCAAACACCGGGGGGGAGGGGCATAAGGGTGAGCGGGGGAGGGTAAGAAACGAGGCACTAGCTTGGAAATGGAGTTGTGGGGGCAGGGCGACGTGCATCTTCAGGAACACGGGCCAGGCAGCTACTGCGATGAGACCAGGGGACAGGGGAGCTAGCCCTGCGGCACCCACGCGACGGGCCAAAGGAAGATGTCCACGGGTGTGATTCGTAGGGTTCGTGCACAAGGTGCACCGTGTGTACCGTATCCAACACTTGCGTGAGTTCTGTGACACTTCCAAAACCCTACAGTACCCGGAAATTATCAACCCTGCTGCATTTTAAGACTCGAGACAGGTCAAACCTTCCTTTCGCAGAACGTTCCGAACGGAAAAAGGAGGCAGGGCTATTTTACGAGAAGCAATTTTATGCCTTTCGCTTTCCGAACTAAGCAATCGTCGCCACGTAAAAAAGGAGACGAGGGAGGTTTTCGTGGAACAAGACACCACCCATCCCCCCACGCACACCCCACGTCTCACCTCAACGTGCAGCGGTACGCCGTGCGAATGTCGCGCAGCAGCCTTCGACGGTTTTTTCTACTACTCCGTATATTATTAGTTCATAATATTAATTGACACCCCATGTTGGAGAAAGGATGCAATCGGGGAAGTTGGGTTAGGGTTAGGGTTAGGGAATATGGTCTGCGCGCCCCCCTCCCTGTTCTCCATACATTGTATCCTCCTTCAACATAATTTCTTGCCTAGGCGGTCAGAGCCACCGCCGAACCACGCACGCACGTACATACCATGATGCTGTCGTCGTGGGCAAGAAGGCTGCGGTGACAGTCGCCGAAGTCCAAGCCCCAGATCTTGACGGTCTTGTCCGCCGAGCCCGTCGCTAGCAGAGCTCCGTCGTCGGAGATGTCCATGGACATGACCGGCAGCTTGTGCCCGTAGAGGGACAGGAAGAACTTGAGGGAGTCGTCGTGGAAGACCTTGACCGTGCTATCCAGGAGAGCCACTGTCGTGGTGGGGAGGAAAGATTAATAAGGATACTACTTCATTAAATCGACAGACGTACGGTGAACCGCTATTTCGACACACAACTTGTGAAATGACGGCAAATCGAACGCGTACAACGACGATCATTCCGCAGGATTCGCTAACGGATTGCTCTGCAAACGTGAGGGGTGGGGATTCGGATTCACAAACGACGTGACAAACTACAACGTGGCTGCATCGAGTAATTCGAGAAGTTCGAGAAATCTTCAAACACCAAAAGGACGCAAAAGAGAAGCATCTGCCGCCGTAGCCTAGACCACACAGTCGGCGAGGGTGGAAGCGCCACATCGAAAGTTCCCCAAGACCCGGTTCCACTCGTCGTGTCCCATTGCCATGCACAACAGTACCTGCTAGGAGTAGCTTGGACTGCTGCTTGTGCCTCGAGTACCGGACGCAGAGGACGTCATCCGTGACCTTGAGCGAGCGCGTGTGGACCAGGCCTAGATTGCCATTGGCAACCTCGAAGTCCCAAAACTTCACCTGGTCGAGTGAGTGAATGAGGGGAGGGAGGGAGGGAGGGAGGCAGAGACAGACCAAACGGACACATTAACAAATTGTGTTTAGCTCAAACAGAGGCAGCCGCAAGAGCAACAACGACAACGCAGAAATAATCCGCCACCAACCCCTGTATAATACGCAAACGACCTCGTGCATGTTTGACACAGGCGGGAAGTGATAACGATCGGATAGATAGGTTAGGGAAACATATTTTTGAGACACCTTTGGAAAAGTAGGAAGGAATGATTGGCCATCGGTTATCGGTCCTGTGTAAACAATGCTCCGTCCCCTCGAGGACGCGTGGTCAATGGTCTAACCGCTAAGGCATGCACAACATAAGAGTACCCCCCCCCCCCCATCCTCGCAACACAACCTCCTCCAGCAACATAACCCCCGCACACCTGACGATCAGCGCTGCCGGACACCAGGCCCTTCCCGTCCGGCCTGAGGTCTATCGACCAGATCGCCTTCTCGTGGGCGGCGTAGTCCTGGATCATCTCCCCTGACCCAAGGTCGACGATCTGGAGGTTTCCCTCCTTCGTGCCGACCAGCAGGTGGCGGTCCCCCGGCGCGAAGGCCACCGTGAGGCCGAAGCCGCAGGGCGCCGAGCGCACGCACTGCCTCGTCCTCGCGCTCCAGGCCTTGGCCAGGCCGTGCGAGACGGATGCGACCATCGCGCCGTCTGAGCTCACCGCCACCGCGCGGACGTCGCTCCGGTGGCCCTGCAGGTCCAGCACCATCATTCTCGACGCTGCTGCTGCTGCTGCTGCTGCTGCGTCACCCCCCCCGTCCTCTTCGCCTACACCCTTTACTTTCTTGGAAGCCTTGCCGGCGCCGGCGCGGCAGCAGCCCTCGAGCCCCCATACCTCCATCGAGTTGTTGTGGAGGGAGACCAAGACTCGGGTGGAGTCGAGGCCGTCGCCGTCGCCATCGCCATCGCCGCCGCTTCCCCTACCGCCGCGCCTACCGCCGCTACTGCTACTTGCCGTCATCGACGGTGCGAAATCGAACGACCGCACTCGGTGGTCCGTCCTCAGCACTACCGACGACTCCAGCTCGTCCCCGGCGACGATGCCATCCGTCAACGTACTCGCCGCCGCCGCACCCCCTTCCCCCCGCGCGCCGTCGACATCGTCCGTGCCTTCTGCTGATGCTGCTGCTGCTGCGGCAGCGGCCTTGAGTGATGCCTTCTCCTTGGCGCGCTTCAACCGCCTGCAACGCGGGAAACAAAGGTGGCACCAGCGACAGCGCCGGCGCCGCAGCGTGCGTCGACACATAAGGACGAAACGTAAGGGATCAGCACACGCCAACAAAGCAGCAAAGGAAAAATATATTACCAGGTATATATTTTTTATGCCCCGGCCTCGTGGCGCTTATCGAACAGGCGGCGCACCCCAAAACAGAACATGGATGCTCCAATACCTTGCAGAACATAACCCAGCACGACAACTCAGCAAAGCCATTCACACAACATCTCCCCCTTCCCTCCAGCCTGGATGACAGCCATGGACAAGCTTCACCGCCCCAGGTTTGCATGCTTGAAATATGACTACTGTAACCAATAGCAACAAACACACACAACGAGTTGCGACATACCGTTCTTGATCTCAAAAAAACACTCTCTTGCAAGAGCCAGTCAAACTGTGTCAGTTTCGCTCGAAGGAAAACACGGACAAATCGCGCGGGGGGGGACCGACCAACTCCCTCACCTCTTCATCTTCTTCTTCGCCTGTGCCTCATTCCGGACACGAAACACCTCCAGGACCTTCCCCGCCCCTTGAACTCCCAGCAGCGGGCCTCCGCCGTGAAATCGCACACGGGCCGCTCGGTCTGAGGGAAAAAGGGAGCATTTTTGATGCGTAAAAAAAGCAGCCGCCAGGAGAGACCGATGAGCAAGCGGCTGCAAAAAGGGGAGGCGGAGCCGCCGCCCTTCACAAACAACGTGGCGCTGGCCTCCCTAGATACGCGTGCCCGCTTGCGGTGCGGGTGCCCGGTAAAGTGCCCGTGAAATTGGCAGGGACTGCTGGAACAATCAAGATGGTTGATACTCCAACAGGCAGCGCGGGTGCCCGCCAGAGTGCCGGCGTGCACTATAGAGGGCACCCGACTGAGTAACAAAGACCGCTGGCTTCGTCAGTGGGAGTCGTCGTGTGCTCCTCCCTTGTGCTATCGGCAAAGGCTGCTAGCGTGTGCGTCGGTGTTACCACATGTGTGACGAACTGCACTGACTCGTCCCAACTACTGCCTAGTTTCTGCGAGGGATCCCTCCGGATGCGTCCCATGAGAGCATAGCAGTGTCATCCAGGGGGACACAAGATGAAAATATTACTTCTATCATGCAGCAGGTCCAATTCACAGCTGACTGCCGCTGCCGTATGATGTGTCCCGAGCTCAACAGCTCACACAGCTCACGTGTTTATTTATTGACTCGAACAGCCCAGCGAACCTCAACGAACAAAAAAAAAAAAAAATACTAGCACAATCTGCACCAGTCTTCATGGCCACCCCGGAGGCGGGCTAACTCATCAACTGGTTCATTTGCCGGTATAATGCTGTCGAGGACCAGACAACGTGCCCATGGTTCGATTCACACCTTGGACTGACTCTCACCGTTCCCTTGCCGAGCGACGGATCCCATATACACCGCAACAACGCCCTCCTCGCCCCCATCGCCCCCGCCGCCCCCGCCGCTCTCCTCTTCCTCGCCATCTATCACCATAGCCGCCGCCACGCTGTCTTTTTCCCCTTGCTGTGAATCCAGCGCCCACACGCGAAGCTGGTTGTCGCTCGCGCCGGTGACTAGCCTCGTGCAGGAGGCGTTTACGTCCAAGCTCCAAACCTGAGGCACGGCATGACAAAGGGGCGGCGGGGGCGTGTGTCGAGCGACAAACGACATGCCTTCAACACAAACGGGCGTGGTGATGGTGATCAACACCCCACCTTCGAGGGTGAGCTTGTGCAAAAATGGTGGTGGGGTCGGGTGGATGGTCGCCCAACGGGGAATAAGAGCACATAACAGATGCCTTGGGGGAGGCGGGGGAGGAGCACCATGACATCCTTACAAAAGACAGCCCTCACTTGTGACCCCCCCAAAAAAGGCAAGAGAAACCTCAAACACATGTATCGTAATCGGCCGAGCGTTCTGCCGCTGCTGCTGCCGATGCTCTTGTTAGTTGTAAGCGTGTGCTTCCTGTCAGGCAGAAATCTCATGAGCCCACGGAGGCTCTGGCCGACGTGTTTTGAGGGCGTCAGCCAGGGCAAGTCGCACTCTGTTTGCTGTAATCATCCAGGAAGACAAAAAACGTCACATAGACAACACTCAACAAGGTTGAAACAACAACCGCCCTACACCTGCGCACACCGCAACATGAAACCCATGCACGCGGGCCCAATAGAACATTCCAATTCCGCATATCACCGTTGCCATACAGGATACGTATGCATAGCACCGGCAGTTATAGAGGTAGGACGTTGGGTTGAGATACAGGATTTCATTGGGGCAACCAAGGCCGTGTGTGATATAAATACCGGCACCGTGCGCGCCCACCGACTCGCCATTGAAACGACGTCAGTCTCAGTGCGGTTGAAAACAGAAAAAAAGAAATGATGTTTCTAAAGGCCATGATCTGCTGTGTGTGCAGGTATGTTCACGTACGTACGCCAGCAGTGACGTGGTTTTCTTCCTGTCAGGCAGAAATCTCGTGAGCCCACGGAGGCTTTGGCCGACGTCTCACAAGGGCGCCAGCGAGAGCAAGTCGCGCTCTGTATTGCTGTAATCATCCAGGAAGAAAACAATCACAACAAAATCGGCCACTATGTAGGTGTTGTTGGTGTGTACCAGTCCCCGCTTTTATGAGTGTTCCAACACTTTCGATAGTTGAGGGAAAGGGGGGTTCCGTGCATAGGAGGAGATAGGGGGGGAGGTACTCCATCCTCGCGTGCCCCAGTCGTTGGAATATTGGCCGCACATTTCTTCCGATACGAGAAGCAGCGCCTACATACTAACTACCACCGCCTCCGTTCAGCACCGTTGACGACGGGCCCGAGCCTCTAGCTGATCGACCCATCGAAGCAGCGTGATTTTTTCCTACCGGCGCTGAGAACATGAGGATGCCGTCGCCCTTTGCCCCCCGGTCAACAACGACATCCACCAGTCGCATCGATTCGTGGAGGGCAAATTCATCGACATCCGTCCGAAAATCTGGAAAGACCGGTTGGCGAAGCGTTTATTGGAGGCAGTTGTGCGCTTTTTGGCTTGCGGGGAGCCAGTCCGAGGGATCGTCATCGATTTTCTCTTTTCAGTGATGTTCGGAAGGATGTCGATGAATTTCCCGTCCACGAATCGACGCGACTGGTAGATGTCGTTATTGACCGGGAGACGAAGCCTACAACATAATGTGTATGTTGCACAAGAGAAAGATCTTGCTCATCTTTTCGGGGATTCGGAGGTTTGCAGAACCTCTGTGCCGCAGCCAGCCGACCAGAGGGTGGGGCATTCACGGAAGCTCTGTTGCTGCAGGTGCATGATGCAAGAGGCCCAAGAACACTGTCTACACTACAAGCACATGCAGCAAATTAGACATGGTAGTCCCATCCCGTCAGGCAGAAATCTCATGAGCCCACTGCGGCTCCAGGCTACGCCTCGCGGGCGACGCCCGAAGCAAGTCGCGCTCTTTTTTGCTGTAATCACTCGGGATGTTCGGAACAAGAAGGTAGGATGGACATCACCTGGGGAGCTGGCGGAGTCTGCCATGAGCCCAAGGCAAAACCATCCCGGACTTTATTTACGAGTAAATGAAAAGAATTCCCTTGTCTTACTTTCGAGAGAATCACAAAGAAATGCAGACACGAAGCCCACGTACACTATACCCACTAACAAACACAACAGCAGTCAGGTCAAGGAACTTGCCCAGAGACTTCACTACTGAAGCGGCTGTACAGCTCGCGAATAACACACCCCTGGGCTGTAAGTCCGTTGCCCTACAACCAAGATGTCGCGAAAGCAGACCGATTATGTCCAAGGAAAGCTTTCGGGCGAGATCTTTCCTACCATCACCCTGTTCGGTGATGCCACGCGCCCCGACTGTGCGGGCAGATCGGGATTTCAATATCGGTCAAGGACACGGTATATACATCTCTACGAATACGTAAGGGAGCACACAAGAATTGATGTAGTTTCGTCGCATGGTTGAGATGCGCGTTGTAATGAAAACGCCACACTCGCTCTACTACCGTTAACAGAACGTGTATACGCATCTGAAGAGTAGATATTTCGAGTCTCGCATACTGCAACGTCCTCTGTTCCTCACGGTAGCTGTGGTGGTGCAATAGTACCATGCCGATGACAACAATGGTACCATGCCGATGACAACAACCAATCTCTAAAACTTCATTGGTAAACCCGTCGCAGCTGTTGCGACGGTGGCGGGGGGAGGGGGAGGTTGTCGGTCCTGTCAGGCAGAAATCTCGTGAGCCCACGGAGTCTCTCAGCCGACGACGCGCGCACGAGGGCGGCGAATGCCAACCGAGAGAGAGGCGTCGCGCTCTAGTTTGCTTGTAATCATCCAGGAATCGACGTGGTTGGAGGCAGCCACACGTCTACAGGCCATCCTGTCGGGGGCGGTGATGAAAAAAACTATGGTGTCGGCACTGCTGCTGGCCATGCACGCTACATGTTAACACTTCGCCGGCCCAGTAACATTTTGCGCCAAGCACGGTGGTGCCCGGCTTGTACGATCACATCAGCAGCTATCTCGTACAAAGGATATGCCAGAGTGGGGGTCGCGTAGTACATAGTGGTTGCATTTACCAGCGCTTGAGAGTCCGTTCCGCACATAACAACATATTCGCCTGATTGAGAGCGAAGTATCTGATTGAGAGCGAGAGCCAAAAAAATTGAAATTTCGGGTCCAGACGCCTCTTGCCATTTCTTGGCAAGTAGGGGACGGGCTATTCCAAGAAGCGGTGCAAATTGAAGGTCTCATCAGCAGCTTCGCGAGCATATGCGTGTCATCGTCATCGGATGCTGCAGCGAGGAGCTAGACAAGTTGCTAGATTTGCCCAGATTGGCTATTTCTGCTCAAACTGTTTCAGGGCGGTATCGCGTCGGGCGGTGGGCTCTGCTGTAGCTTCTGCTCCCCGCTGTAGCTCCACAACGAGAGACTCCCACAGGATGACCAGGGTAGCGGCTTGAAGCTACGGGCTAGCCCTTCAATTCAAGCTACACAGCAAGCTCCACCTCTCAGTGGTAGTCCGGCTACAGCGTATCGCGCAATCTCGCTCTCAATCAGATGCTACGCTCTCAATCAGCCGAATATGTTGTTACATACAGATAGCACCCTGCCGCTAATGAGAAACTGGAAAACAGGTCCAGGCTAAGCTTCGCATCTTAGGGGACACCTGTTACGTAGGGACTGGTGTAGCGCTAAACGCCCAGGTTCCACGGTTTCTTCCTGCCCCGAAAGACTTCACCCTGGTATTTTTTTCTACAACCGTTTTCCTGACAAGCGTACGGGTGAAACGTTCAAACAAATCGATTCAGGCGCAATCGCAACTGCATGCGAAGCACGTCGAGACAGGACACGCGATCTCGTGAGATCTTGTGTCACTGCTGTCCACATTCCATCACTGTACAGTCCACTCATAACAACGCCCCCAAGACCCGCCGCAACTCCACTTTCTCCTAAAACATCGGAGCCAGACTTGAGCGGGGTGCTCGCTGTACGCCATGCGTGCGGGATAACCACGCGACAAAAGTCACGCCGCCGATGCTGAGCGCTTCAGCGGTATACTAGGATAATTTCCGCCTCGTCTGTTCCTAGGAGGTATCAATCCGTCTCGCGAGGGAGCCGGCCGACGCCGCGCACGAAGCGGAAACCTTTGTAGACACATATACATAATAAATACTCGCGTGCGTGGGATGTACCCAGTACACGCCTCACCTCACCCCGGTGCCCCACCACCGTCTGCACGCAGCTCTGCGTGTCCAGGTCCCACAGCTTCACCAGAGTGTCCTTGCTGCACGACGCCAGCCCGTTCCTCAGCCTGCACCCGCCTGGCGCGCCCCCGCCCCCGCCTTCCAAGAACACCACGTCCGTGACGCCGTCGCGGTGCCCCCTCAGGCGGTACAGCCCCGACTCCGCCACAGCGTCCCAGACCACGATGTCGGTGTCCGCGGACCCCGACGCCAGCAGCGCGCCCGAGGCGTGGTAGCGGGCGGCCGTCACCGCCGACCGGTGGCCGTGGAGGGTTACGGCGGTGGCGCCGGTCTTGAGGGAGAAGAGCAGGACGAGGCCCGACGAGTAGCCGGCGGCGACGGTCCTCCCGTCCGGCGAGAGGAGGAGGCTCGTCACCTGAGCCCTGCTCGCCGCCGACTCGCCCTCGGGGCTCAGCAGGCGCACCTGTTTGGTTGTTGTTTGGAGGATGGGGTGGTGCTTTGGATGGGTGCATACGCAGCAGCCCCAAGGGATGGCGGAGGGGTTGTGCTTAGGACCGGACACTCGCTTGTTCTGTACTCCCTTTTGGCGTACAGACGGGGTCAAGGAGATGAACATCTACAAATGTACCATTTGTATTGGCCGTAAATCATGGAACATTCCATGTGAACGGGAGTAGCATGTGTCTTGAGCGACACCCAGCTTTGAAGCCGACGATTAGGACAGCAAGAATAAGCAGTCGAAGTCCGCCAGTGGTGCCGGTGCGCGCACGACCAACACACCTGAAACCGTCCGCTGTTGCGGCACGTGCGGTGGTACTTGGGTTACAGTATCGACCATTCTGGTGAGTTCTTCCCTCCCAAGCCGTGCCAAGCGATGATGTAACTGGCACTGCTGTACCGCGCAGCGGGACTTCTTAGCCGGCACTAAATACAAAGAGTCCTCGTCTGTATTGTTGGGTGCTTAGACGATGGAATACGAACAACATATGCTCTCACTACAGCCAGCCGGCGCTTACCCTTCGTCGATGTCTGAAGTACATACGTGAAACGGCCTCTGTGGACCAGCCAAAAGCCCTACACTGGTTTCGGGTGTCTTCGCAAGATTTAAGTTTCGATGTCCAGCACATACCGTCTTTTTGATGCGGGCTGCATGACTAACCAACGAAGTGCCTACTGATCGCTTCATCATGGGCTCTGGCAAGACGTGCCATCGATCAGCGAGTGGAAGCGAGTGCTGCAAGTAGCCAAGAGAGCTCGGCGGCCGTGCATCATGATGCAGCAGTGCACAGGCGGAGACTGTTCCATTTCGACATGCCCAGATGGGCAGCAAGCGCACGCACAAGCAGACGTTGAACACCGCGAAGCTTTCTGTCACAGACCCACCACTGTTGTACCCCTATTTCTTGTGTAATCTCTGCCCTCCCATGTCTACTGCGCCGTAACTCACCAACGAGCATTGCCGCAGGTTCCACACAGCGACCTCGTGCAGGGCTGCGGAGATGGCAAGGTTGCCCGTCGAGTCGTAGACAACATTGCTCTGCGGCGACGCAACAACACCAAAGGTCTCGCTGAGCTCATACCGAAGGTAGGTCTTGTTCATCTCGCTTCCGGCGTCAAGCCGTGGGGCACCAGTGCTGCAGCTGAGTGCTGCACAGCTGAGCAAGACACTGGCGAAGCTCCGTGAATGCGCACAGCGCGGTACCCAGGTAGCCAAGATATCGTAATACTCCTCCGGCTGACCCCCACAGGCAGGCAGCACCAGCACAGCAGAGCTGCAGCAGTTGACAAGGTCGTCTCGCTCTTTGGCGAAGCGTAACAACACACACAATCCGTGGCTCCGTTGCATAACAGCTGGAGCACCCGGGCGTCACGCTTTTTATTCGAGTCCTAGACATTGGGCTGTGTGCTGGACGAACTGCTGCTGCTGCTGTGGGGGTACGTCGTCTTTTCTTCACTCGTGCCGCACCGGGACGCACACCATCTTCACGTGGGGAGAGCAGTAGCTAGCGCACCATGGCCGAGCCTGGAGCACCAAAGACTTCGGTGGAGTTCAAGGTGCGCTGCTGGAAAGATTGGGTTGCGTGCTGACTATACGGTTTTGATTATGCTGGCTTCGCTCTCGGTGCAACCGATTGACATTCGATGACGGCACACTCCTCCACTTCGCGTGCAACGAGACTTGTCATTTGCAATCCACTAGGACGGCCTGACTGCACCTCGTATCCCTCTGGTCTACCTACCCGTTCGGTGTTTGCTCCGCTAGTGTTGTGTTTCTCTACGGTGCTGGTAGCAACGGTGCATCTACTAGACGTCCTCTTTTGAGAAATACGCAGCAGCGCGGTATGTGCTGCACAGCACGGTACTGCTTTATACGGAATATGTAGATGGGCAAGTGTCCGAAAGAACATCGCACAAAACGACCGGACTTGACTCTCCTTGTACTGCGTACAGATGAGAACTCCCTCGTGTTCTCCCACGTGCTCTCACTTACCACGCGCACATGAAGCCGTCTTTCAAGCGCAACAACGCCATCGCCAGCGCAAAATGCGCGGGGAAAATATGTCAGCAGGACGACGAGAGCAGCCAAGTTTGTAAATGATTGCTCCGCGCCTACTTCTGGCTTGCATACCCACCGCCGACAACCGGTAAAAAGAGGCCGTCACGCGTTTCAGGACGCGGCGCAACGGCAGCAGCAGTAGCAGCGATCATCGTCGCTGAGTAACATGTCGGGTGTGAGCACCCCATGCCCACTGAGTACGAGAGCAATGCAGCTAGGTGTGTGTATCGTTGCCATTGGGGTGGAGAGGGGGGGAGCGACACATAAAGAGGGGCCGTGCTTCATCCGGGAACGTCCAGACACGCAGGTTCTCTGCGGCGGGTGGTTGACACCGCCGTCCTACAAATTGCAGTCGTCAACGTGGTGATTGTTTGTCTATTGTACCTATTATGTAGGCTATCGCGCGGATCGCTACTGCTTTGTCTTGCATATGTGCGCGGTTGGTAATGTTTAGTCTATCATACTTGCTGGAGCATGTGGAACGGTGGTGACGTGACCCTTGCAGCGGGTGGACTAACATTGTGCTGTCGGTGGACGCGATTTTTATTCTCACAGCATGTGCCTGGTAATCTGGTGTTCTTCACGTGTACTTGAGTTTTTCATGTTTGTCCGTATATGGTACCTTGTTGGGGTTTAAGACAGAGTGTGCGACAGCCCAAATTCGTTTCCATGTACATGCCATTTGAAAAAAAGTGACATATTTGGGAGACGACAGGGTTTGGTGACGACATCCTCCAAAAACAGCAGCGGTGTGGAACATGTTTCACATTTCCCCACAAATCGCTGTTCCTCTAACTACTCTGTTGGATGCCACTGCTGTTTGTAGGTGTAATCTCTCCGTGTCTCCACCTGTCGAAAGGGCGATTAGGAAATGATCGGGGTTTTGATGGGAAGCTCCTCTCTCCTCTGTGCTTACCGCCACCACCTTGCTTGCGTGATTTCCTCTCGTCGCTCTGTTGTGTCGGGGGGGGG